TTTATATTATTGAGTTTTTATTCGCACACACACTTACACCCTTAGGTCCAGCAGCCCACTGAGGAAAAACGTCAAGAAGAGGAAGCACCAACTGAAAATCAGGGTATTGCACCTAGTGGGGAGATCGAAAATGAAGGAGCACCTGCTGTTCAAGGTGAAGGGAGAGTGGAGAATAATGCTTGTGGGTGGTGGAGGTATATTTATGCATTATATTTTATGACATATCCGTAACAGGAGGCCAGAAAACATTAGGAAGGAATCTTAAACATTTCCTGCTGCTGCTGTGGGGAGGGGTGGGACAAGGACACATAGAAAGCCACAAAACTTTCCTACCATTTTGACAGAGGCTTTTTATTGATTGGGTACTTGCATGGTTGTCATAAGCCCGTGAGTGTTTTCCAGAGCTCCTGTATGGTTTGTTCAGTCATTTTCTGTTTTTTGGTTTGTTTTGTATTTTATGTTTCTGTGGAAGAATGGCTCCTTGTAGCTTCCTAGTCTGCCATCTGCAGACATCTCATGTGTTTTTTAAGAAACTTTTTAATACACATTTATTAATGCTTCGTCATGCCATGTTACTAAGTGCTGGAAACGTCAGTGCCAAACTGTAGCCTAAAGCTCATAGTCTAGTCAGACTGACTCAAACAAATCACTGATTTAATGTGATAAGAATAAGAACAAACGAGTACAAAAGGGACAAGTAAGTTGTCCAGTGTCAGCCTTGGGAAAGGAAAGGGTGATGTTTGAACATCTCTGCTTTCCTGTTTTCCTGGCAACAGACTCCTGAAATAATTAGCCTACATGTTTTTATTTCATAATGATGAGGGAATACACATTATCATTTCCTCGTTCATAGTTCACGTTTTAATTTGTAAACTGATGACCTTTTTATGTTTTAAGGGCCTGACGTGGAAGCTTTTCAACAGGAACTGGCTCTGCTTAAGATAGAGGATGAGCCTGGAGATGGTCCTGATGTCAGGGAGGGGACTCTGCCCACTTCTGATCCCACTAAAGTGCTGGAAGCAGGTATGTTGTTCAATTAAGATGCAAACTAGAGGGTGTCTGTTTTCACAATATTATATTTTTTGTGACACAGAGGTAAAATTACTGCTACTTTAATATCTTACTTCACGTCTAAACATTGTTTGAAGGTAGTTCACACCCCAAATGGCTGCCTTACACACTATTAGAGATAGAGGGCCAGGTGTGCTGGCTCATGGTTTTAATTCCAGCACTTTGGGAGGCCGAGGCAGAAGGATCACTTGAGGCCAGGACTTCAAGAGATGGAGAAAAATTGGGTCAAAGTTAATTGGATTATGATATGAAAGATATGAAACATGCTAAGAGAGTAGATACCGAGTGTCTTCACAGGTATTTCAAGTAATGCAGATATTAATTAGCTTGATGTAGCCATTTCACAATGTGTATATATATTTTAAAGCTTCATGTTATACGTGATAAATATATACGATTTTATGTGTCATTTTTTAAAAAAGATTTGAAAACATGTTCTGACTTTTGTATGTAAGTGATTTAACCAACAGCCAGTAATTTTCAGATATTTTTATAGAGGTCTGTTTTTAACAAATATGTAACGTGTTTATAATAAGCATCAGTTTATTTTGTGATGTTAACTGTGATGGTAATGTTTTACAGCTAGCATGGGTATTCACTTTACTGTATAAAGTGAACTGCCTTTAGGCATGTAAAGAGGCAGGAGGACCGGTGAATATAGGGACAAATGTTCGCCCTACTTAAAGCAACTGCATAATGGCTAAACTAGTCCAAAGTAACGTTTATACACTTTTTCACAAGAGACACAAAACAAATGTAATGCTGACTTTTCTATTTCCTTCACATAGGCAGTTCTAAACATATTCTGTATTCAAGAGTTATTTTATATCAAAATATTTAAATGATACTTTAAAAATACCTTTTCCCTTGGGGTTTTGTTTCATTGAATTTTCATTGAAAGTATGTGTTTTTTTTGTTTGTTTGTTTTTGCTTTCCACTTATACATACAAATAGATTCACTGGATTGAATTCATTCTGAAGTTGAATAGTCTCTTTGTGTCCATATTCTACTAGAAAAAGTGGCATGAATTAAAAATATTGTTAATATGCCTGGAAGTCTACCTTTAGAGTTTATTCAGAGGTTAACTGGATGTCGGCTAAAGGGTCACCCTCAGGGTTCTGATATTAGTTCATCAACACGGTAGTTGTATACCTCTAGTGTCATATGAATAAAAATCTGCTGAGTAACGGGTCCTAATTGTATATTTATGTTTTAGGTGATGCGCAACCATAGGTTTACACCAAGAGAAATGAAGACTGAAACCAAGAATATTATTGTTATGCTGGAAATTTGACTGATAGCATTCTCTTAATAAAGTTTTACAGTTTTCTGCAAGGAATCCTTGCACATTTTTGTTAAATTTATTTCTGGATCTTTAATAGTCTTGAGAATTGTATCTTTTTTGAACGTTTAAATCCTGTGTTTGAGATGGTACATGGAGATAAAATGTTGGTACATTGATTTTCTATCATAGATAGATAGGAAGCTGGAAGCTTTCATGGGGGATGCCAACAGCTGCACTGATAGAAAAGGCCACGTGGGGCCAGGCATGTCCACCATGGGCTTTCCATCTCCCGTTTTTTAGCATATGCACGGTACGTACGAAATGAGCAACATGTTGTAGCTCAGGCTGAGGACCCGCCTGCATAATAAAAGATTAGGGTGGGGGCTGCCAGAGATTC